CGGATCACCTGAGATCAGGAGTTTGAGACCAGCCTGGCCAACACGGTGAAACCTCGTCTCTACTAAAAAATACAAAAATTAGCCAGGTGTGGTGGCACGTGCCTTTAATCCCAGCTACTCGGGAGGCAGAGGTTGTAGTGGCCAGAGATCGTGCCACTGCACGCAGCCTGGGCAACAGAAGGAGACTCCGTCTCAAACAAAGCAAAACAAAACAAAAACAAAAAAACCTTAATAATAAAATGGGCTTTTATATATACAAATCAGCACAAACTCATTTGAGGGAGAGTAAGACTTACAGACTTGCTTACAACTCTCTTTCCCTGCTCAGGCTCCTGAGCAGCTGGGATTACAAGGACGCGCCACCACACCTGGCTAACCTTCGTATTATTTAGTAGAGCCGAGGTTTCACCATGTCGGCCAAGTTGGTCTCAAACTGCTGGCCTCTGTGATCCACCTGCCTCGGCCTCCCAAAATGCCGAGATTACAGCGTGAGCCACCGCGCCGGGCCACAACTTTCTTCTGTGTAATTTCACCTTAAATACAGCCATTTACTTGGGGGTGGTGTAAGCAAATTGTCTCTTCAATTTCTCTCCCGGGGTGGGAGAACTGTGGCATTAAACAGAAGTGCGAACAGTAGTTGAGGGTAGGAAGAAAGGCTGCCCGGAAGGGGGTCAGGAAATCTCAGGCAAGCCCACCCTCAGGCACTACAGCTAGACTCCGAGCTCAATGGCCAGGCAACTGATTCGACCAACATCAGTTCACAGGGTTTAAGCCCAGTCCCTTAGGGAGGCCTGGGGAGGGGCAAGGCCCAAGTATATAAAGCTCCCTGAGGGTCAGCGTTGGCTCTGCGCCTGCGACTGTGATTCAAAAACGTCCCGGTGCCCTTGGCTCTTTTCGGAATCTGACCCCGAGCTTGCACGGGACACACTGCCCAGCTCGGGTGAGAAGGGTAGCTTCTGGGACCCTTGCCTTTAACCAGCACTGCGAGCACAGAGTGCACCGGATCTGCGAGAAGAAACCGCGTTAACTAGTTTGTCCCTAAGGCCGCCTCGTAGTCATCGCCGCGGCGCCTTGCGTCTCCGGGCCGCATTGCCATGGCTGCCCGAGGTGTCATCGCCCCAGTTGGCGAGGGGTTGCGTTACGCTGAGTATTTGCAGCCCTCGGCTAAACGACCCGACGCCGACGTCGACCAGCAGGGACTGGTGAGTGCTGCCAGCGGCCCCCACCCCCGTCTGGCTCCCTTGTAGTTTCTGCTTCTGCCCTCTACCGCCTCACCCTTGAACCTTTGTATTCCCCCGCATTCGCTCACCGTCTGTTCCCTAGCGCTCATTTGTTCAGTGGAGAGACCGCCTTGTGCTTGGCTTTGACGTTTGGGCGTGGAAGACGGAGCAGCAGTTCTGAGGATCTGTCTCCTCAAGGAGCTTCCAGTCTTGTCTGGGACACAAACCAGAAAATAGGCAATTGCAAATACAGTATAAGTGCTGTATGTGGATTTTCTTGTCTCATAGGAGGCCCTAATACCGTCTTGTAGGGGACGTGGTGGGATCAGGGACGCTTCTTGGAGAAAGCTGTAGTTAAAAATTAGGATCTGAATGAATAAAAGCAGTTTATTCAGCAAAGAGAAGGGGAAAAATTGTTTCAGGTACCAGGAGTACTATCTCCAGAGTCTCCGGCACAGAAACAGGGCTCTGTTGGAAACTGCAAGTGGTGTATTCAGGATGAACCGTAGAGGTGGAAAAAGGAAGGGTCTAACAAAGAAGTGTCCAACAGAAACATATTGTGAGCCACATACGTATTTTTACGTTTCTGTAGCCATGTTAAACAAGAGAAACAGGTGGGTTTAATTTTAACGATGTATTTAACCTGATACATGCACAGTTGCACGGTAATATTTCAACATTCAATATGAAAAATTGCCCAAGTGGTGGTTTAGGCTTGTAATCCCAGCGCTTTAGGAAGGCCAGGCAGGAGGATCACTTGAGACCATGAGTTGGAGGCCAGCCTGGACAACATAGGAGAC